GGAAGATGCAACTCATCAGACTTATAATATTCCACCCCTTTAAATACTCCCCCCCCCCTGCCCGCCGAGATCACTTGCCCTCCCAGTCAACGGCCGTTTTAACGAAAAAGCGGGCAGGGTTGTGTCGACAGTGCGGTAGCGGGTCAGGTTGGGGAAACTTACCAAGGTTGATGGTGAGGGCCATATCGAGGCTTCCCACAAGGAAGGAGGGGAGTCGCGAAATTTTGGAAGTTTGCGAATGCGAGGTTAACCTTTTTTTCGTGTCCAACGACGTTATAAAACCCGTCTGCCTCAGCCATTACACTCATGCTTTTAAAAGTAATTGGGAGGGGTCCCATTCATTTCTATTACAACCCACTTTCGCAGCCTTTTTGTAGCGCAACTGCAGCTGTCACTGGTAACAAAGTTGTGACACGGACAAAAGCGACAACGACCGGCGACAAACCTTTGGCCCGTATCGTCGACAATGGCACTGTTTGCAGAACAACTCGGCCTGATGTTCACAGCAAGTCATCGAATCCAACAACTTATTACACATCGCTGAACAGTTCACACTCAAAGACACACAGAATTACGAGACTAGACATTTAAAAGCATGGAAACTGGTGAAAAAAATCACACACGTGTAAAAATATTTGACACATATATTCTTGTTTCAGCGGCCGGGCATGTCGTGATTGCAGACCCAGTAGTACACACGGCGACTGCATCCAAAAATCGATATCGATTTTGAATCTCATACTACTGTCTGTTGCCACGTGTTATACTTTGTCTGCAATTACGACACGGTCGGCCGTAGAAAACTTGGGATATTGAGAAGGTTAGATAAGCAAGGTCGGACGGGACACGACAAATAGACACGAGACACACTGATTGAAAGTTCAACACTGAAAGCTTCAAGGACCATAAATTTTACAGAAATACGAAAGCCCAAAGGCCACTCCGTTGAGAAATAGTGTGAAAAGTAGTTACTCTTTTTGTTAGCTTGATATTCTCTAAAAAGTTTCCAAAAATAGAAACAATATTTTTCGACGTCATACGACTGCATACAGAGTCC